AGTCCTCTCACTTCTTTAACTAGTTATTTTTGGTAGGAATACACGTAAGTAGGAAGGAGGGTGATCGTGCTTTTGGTACCTGGGGAGTATGGGGAACGGCAGGAAACGACCAAGTTTCCTCATTCTCTTGAAGTGCTCAGTTCGAGAATAATCAGACAAAAAAAAAGCTCAAAATACCTCATGTGTACAACGGGTTAAGAACCATTAACTTAGCCACTGACAAGATACAGCATACAAAAGTATAAAATGGAATCAAACCACGTTAACTGAATCATCTGGCTATCTAGTACACTTAACCGACTTTATTAAACCTTCTGAATCAGCCAATGAATACATTACATTACACTTTCAAATGCTCGACTACTAACAATCTTGAAGACTGTACACGCCTCAATAACGGAATTATATCTCGACAGCTTCGTCAAACCAGGAAAAAAAGGTACAAAAGTAATTGTGTAGACAAGGCCTGCTAGTGGTTTGCTTAATTTATTAATAATATCACAGTGGCACATATTCCCGACTTTATTAGTTGAATGCTCCCCGAGAACAGAAGCATAAACACCAGTTTCCCGCGTGTTGTTATCCGACATGGATTTACAAAGTGAGAAACTAACCAATACAGACATTAAGTTACCGAATGGAAAATAAACGAGTAAAATAAGAAAACAGAAGAAAAAGAGCAAAGTCTCACTCAGATCAAATAAGAGGGTACTTATTATGTCGACAATATATTATGAAAATAGACCGGATATTAATTAATTTTCATCTTATGAGGTGCACTTTAAGGATTTCACTTTGGAATGAACTCAACCCTATCAACTATTTTTCAACTCCAAAAAAAATTGAACTGTGAGCAGCCGATGGAGCTGCCTGTCATGGGAACACATACTAAATTTCATCTATTCCCCGTAGACCAATTACTTAGGGTCTTCACCAGAGTCACCCAGACCTACGTCCATGCACATCATCACTAGGAAACCAATAATACAGGCAACTGAGGCAAGTTTCCCGTTACCGCTCCGTTGTGCTTCGGGAATGATGTCGTCGACGACAACGTAGATCATAGCTCCTGCAGCAAAGGAAAGCGCATACGGCAGCAATGGTTCCATCATTATTATAGCAGCTGCTCCAATTATTGCTGAGATTGGTTCAACCATTCCAGACAACTGGCCGTACCAGAACGCCTGAAAGTTTTAATCATTTTGAAGGGTAATTTCCATACGGAAACGTGATTTTCATATTTCTCTCAAGGCCTCGGTATAACTTGAAAGTTTTAAGCAGGTGAAGCGTCAGTGTGCGAAGGTCGAAAACGAAGAAAAGAAGATATATCGAGGGACCCAAAAGAATTGTTGTCAGAAAAGGGTGGGGGCAGGTGACATGGTATGCTAAGATTTAAGGCGCGCTCATACGTTGCGTCAGCGGTTTCGTATTGAGATTGGGTATGTATAAGTGTTTCGACCGTGCTCCTGCGTATCCAGCAACTAGGAAAGTATAGGCGCCGAGCTAACTTTCAGAACGCTGGCGCAGAGAGCGGTACTTAAAGGCACGTCTAGAATAACATCCAAAATGAGGGGTTGTGCGGCTCAAAGTCAATCACAAGGAAGTAAGCGATCCCACAGTGAAGGAGAAAATAACCTTAACACCTTCCGGACCGCGTGACACACATGGTGTGTCACCCATTTGCCTCAATGCGGTGAATTATTCAATTAATTTGGCTTTTCATTCATGTTCTAGTTTGTCAAAACACGTTTCCGATAAGGAAAGATATGTACCTCTTAAGCAGTCGAAAAAAGGAAGGAAACTACCGATAAATTTTCAATGAAGAATGATGAAATAACGTGGAGGTGCGCGCAGTACAGCGGTTCGCAATGCAAAAACCCGCTGGGAATTCTCCATATACAAACTAACTGCTGAAATGTCCTTCTCCGGCATAAGAAAAAGGGCGTGGTTGGACGAGTTCTCACTCACTGGTGCCGGCTCCTTCTCGTTCGAGATGGAGAGAATAGTAGAACTTCAGCACCATCAGTTAGCTTTTAAAAATCGTCAGTGGGCGCGGCGACGGTTCCGTGCGGGCAGCGCCTCCCACGCTATTTTTGAGCTGCGAAATTAGTACGCCCTCGAGCCTTGCAAGGAGGGATACAATTTCCGAAGAAGGTGCCTGAACATCGAATAAATATTGGCCGCGTCTTTGACAAAACTCCGGCCTATCTTCATTTGACCAAAAAAACCCAAACTTTCTTGGACAGTCCTGACAACCAATACTGTACTCAGGACGCTGTCCTCGAAATTCCAATAGGACATCTTCCTCAAAGACAGTGCGCGACAGTAGAATTGTGAGCAGCGGGGCTCAGAAACCAAAGGGTACCTGGTGTCCGAAACACCAAAGCAGAAATGACTAAGGAAACTCTGTGACGTCCCTGTTGCTCAAGAACTGTAGGCGGATACCCATAAATGATGCATTCTCGACGATTGCGACGGGGTTGCTTTGGGCAAAGAAGGTTTTCAATACCGGACAATAGCGAACTACGTATTTAACATTTACAGTGAATTTCTGGATTTTCCTATGACCCAAAAAGAAAAACCAAGGCCTAAAAAACATGTACGGCCCATTGACAGAGCCATTTAGGAGGATTTCGAGCACTCACCTTCAGCTTCGAATGGCCAAAGGCAGCCAATGGCAGGGAAACAGCCAGTCCTTCAGGAAAATTCTGGAGGCCGATGCCAATTGCCAAGTTGAATGCAGTTTCAAACTTAGCCGCTTCAGTCTTTCCAACGGAACCAAATCCTACACCAACTGCAAGTCCCTATAACGATGATATACATTCCGATTCAGTGAAGCAGTAGTACCGCAAAGTACTGAGAAATAAAGCTACTCTTACTTCAGGTATATTATGCACGGTGACAGCAAGAATAAGAAGCATGATACGCCTCCAGGACGATCGATATTCATCTTCAAGACGACGCATCGTCTCCTTGTCACGTGCTTCTGCCGAATCATCCTCTTCACAGATTTCTTGGGCTTCAGAAGGCCTGAAAGATAGCTCATCACCCATGCAACACGCTTCTAGATTAAGCCAATGCAAAACGTCAAGCAAAAAAGAAAGGAAGCCAACATTATTTAGGCAGCCAATCATGCTCATAGAGGGCAGTCAAACGGTGGGATTCACAACAACATGGCAGAAAAGGATGACAATCTCATACAAAAAGCGAACCACCGCCCAGAAGAACACAGATGTGCAAATATTATTATGCAAGCGTGAAAGGTAAGGTGCAAGGCTCATCACAAAATTTCTAACCATGAACGAACACAATTATACGTAGAGGGGATGCTTGTGGGTGGTGATAGGGCGGTGGCTCACCTATTTCTAGTGCCACGACAGCGCAAAGCTGAAGACTTTGTGGTAACAGAGTCGTACCGAGAAGCCGATGTGCTCTCAGAACCATTCGCTGCAGTTACAAGTGATAGCTGCGTTTCGGTTTTCGCTGGTGCCAAATAATCCATTACAACAGTGTCGCCCATCACACAGCTGGAACAAGCGTATATTTATTTATTTACAAAGTTGCATAAGGTAAACATATCGTACAACACAGTAACTTCAAAGAAGTTAAATATCAAAACATTTGGCCGGGCACTCAAAAGGAACAAGGCAGCGGCTATTGTTTGATAACTGCTGTTTAACGCCGCAGTGCGCGATCCGAAAGCTATCACAAGAATGCTGAGTTATGGGCAAAAGTCGGACCACGGACGGGATTCGAACCCGCATCTTCTGCTTACCGGGCAGTGCGTTCCCTATTACGCTACCGAGGCCACTTTTGACCACTCAGCTCAATGGCTATTTGTGCCATTGCCTTCGAGCACTCACACGTTCAACGTGATGAGCCGGTTAGCCGATATCGGCAGTGAACCGCAAAAGGTTTTCATAAAGTTTCAAGCTGTTATTGTTTGATAACTGCTGTTTAACGCCGGCAGTGCGCGATACGCCTTCAGCCTTGCGGTTCACTGCCGATATCGGCTAACCGGCTCATCACGTTGAATGTGTGAGTGCTCGAAGGCAATGGCACAAATAGCCATTGAGCTGAGAGGTAAAAATGGCCTCGGTAGCGTAATAGGGAACGCAACTGCCCGGTAAGCAGAAGATGCGGGTTCGAATCCCGTCCGTGGTCCGACTTTTGCCCATAACTCAGCATTCTTGTGGGAACAAAGCAGCATTGATCTTGAAAGAAAGGTAAATTGAGTAAAATAGTTGTGAAGTTCTATCGCAGGCCAATATCGACGTCACACAAAACAGTTTCAATAGTAGCTGAAACGTTGCACTTTCGGATCAAAGCAAAATTTGAGCCCACGTTGAACTCCTATGTTTAAGCGATTCCGATGATCACAATTTTTTTAACGTCAACCTGGCTTTGGAGTGGCAAAGAAGAACAAGTTGATCATGAGTTTGGACGTTCATTCGGAACGCATTTAAGCAAAACTAACCCTGGCGATGGGTGCGTTGAGGGAGTGAATTTTTTTCACCTTCAGCTGGCCCTTCTGGCAAACTGCCTCAATCGACTACCTGCTCCACGGGCGTGATCGTGCACGAGTTTAAAAGGATTTTTTCTTTACATCCAGAAAACTGAATTTGCATGCATGATTCTACACTTGAACGACACAGTTACCTGCGCGGTGTAAGGAGAGATTTCGATCAGTGAACCTTCGCTGAAACGTACATTTTGTTCCCCTAGCAATCTTCATCACCTTGAACAGTAGATCTATGGAGATAGAAGGCCTCCATCAATCAGACTTAGCAGCTAAACAGATTAAGCCGGAAATGAAATCGCGTATCAACCCCGTGTTTTCCTCATTATACAGACCGCAGTCGCCGCTAGAAAAAGTGTGAAGCGGCAAGTTATAGGTGCGCGACTGCATAACAAATTCTCTTTGCATTTGGAAAAGCGAGCCGTTCGACTACTACGATTAATGCTATACCCAGAAAGTTTCTGCATTCAGTGTGTTCTTATCCACCGAGGAGCAAGAATATAGCCATTGTAATTACTTCTCATTCAGGCGGTTTCTAAATACAGCGATGATCGAAATAGAACGGTCTCGAGATAAACCATACAGGACTCGAGATATCATTACTCTACTGCAATACGCGGTACTCCGTAAATGCACTTTGCCTCTCTGCGAACTGGGAATCGAAACTGGGATTCTTGAAGGCAGTTGGCACAACCAAACGCAAGATGATTAGGATAATACGCCTAGCAGGACAGAATTCGGCGCCTTGAGCAGGCGCTGCGGAGCTCATTTTTCAAGGAAGTACTCGTTATAGGCTGCAATGTAGCGACCCACCTCGCCCACCCACACCACAAATGAACGAGCGCACCTGACATTCATATTGCTCCATGCGAAGTAAAATATGAAGCGAAGGGATTGATATGAAGCGGCCGCTGTGCTGCATGGATGTATGAGTACATACGTGCAGTCACATCTACCGTAGCGGTCCATCTCAGGGCACTTGTCAACCGAGAAGCCTCTCCTCTCTTTCCTTTTTTCTTCCTCCCTCCTTCTTTCCTTCCTTCCTTCTCTGATCCCTCCTCCTTTACCTTCTCCCTTCAACTACTGGACTGGTAGATGCCTCGTGAAAATACCCCTGGACCCTCGCAGCGAGAGCACGTCTGGTTGACAACAGCCCCGTAACCGTAGCGGTCATTGGCAAGATGTCTACGGGAAACTCGTCCGAAATTGCTCTCTGAGAGACGAAGAACGAAGGCATTTCTTGGCAGGTTTTTGACCGTTTGACTTCGTTTTTTCCATTTCCCCACTACATAGCACCCAGCAGCTAGCATTTTTTACCGAGTAACAACTGTGCCATAAGCCTTTAATCGTTGTTCACGAGAACCATCCCAATGCTCCGTGATGACTTGTTTCGGAAGAAAAAAATGTGTGCACAAATAACAGGTTATTTAGGTATTTCCGGCTTTTTGTTGCAAAAGAGAAAATTGACATTTCTTCTCGTTCTGATAGCAGGCAGAATTCAAGTATATACTTGTATACAGTTGAGAGCAATTCAACTGGATTTTTGAGAAAAAAAAAGGAAAATTTTCGAAAAACTGTCACAAGAATGGTCAAGGATAGGTCAGCATATGATGATGAAGAAATATGTCACCTGGGCAGCATGCGATCAGCGAAGTGTACAAATGCCGCGCCTACAGCAAATCCAACAGCCACTGGAAGAAACGCCAGTGATCCCATTGTTTTCTCCGAAATTTCGATGGCAGGGGCGAGTAATGACCAGAATGATGCAGCTGTCATAACTCCAGCAGCAAAACCCAAGCTGAGATCTATAAGAGAAACATTCATGGACAATCTTACTTTTTTTTTACATTTCTGACACCTAAATGATGGCACTAGTTACCAAAAAGCGAAGGAATTCCTATCAACTTAAAAATCGTCAATCGAAAACAGACACGTGAGTGGAATTACTTCTACTTTAGGAGATGGATTCGATGTTCAACGCACTGAACTATGGTCTGCAAAGGAAAAGCGGATAGGGACAATATTCAGGACAGATCGGTTTTATACTATAGTGGCCAAGGCTGAACGGAAACTAAACGATCGCTTTGAAGCGCGACGCCCCCAACCCTCCCCAAGGGATTTCATTATCCATTTCAGTCATAATCGTTTTTAATGTCACTGGAAACCACTGACAGATCATGATATTTACTCTGAGTTCTGTGATCGAGCTCAAAGTGCTCACTGCTCTCCTCGAGCAGCTTGACGATGTCTGGGTGTAACAGACAATACTTCCCGCAAAATTTCCTTTTTTTTCAAAAAGAAGTGTTCAATTTCTGACCGTAAGACCTTGTTGCTTCAAGTATTCAAAACATATTTCAATCCACTGTCTCCACGCAGGACTGATAACAAACACTCGTGACTGAAGGCCCGGGAAGCATTCTCACAGCTTACACATGGGAGCAAATTTCGTAAGCAGTCTTTCAGTTGCTGGCCAACATAATATTCAAATGAAATGCAAAGCAGACATCCCACATTCAGACGAAAAAGCACTGAAAGCATGTAGCTCTTTTGTCATATCAGTTAATGTGTAGTCGCTGCTCTGCATCAATCTAGAATTGGAGAACCGCATATTGGAAGAAGTACGCAAGTGGGAGAATCGGAGAATCCGTGAAAATGAAAGCAAGCGCTGACAGAGTAGGAATGCTGCAAGAATGGAGAACTAAGGCGACTCTGATACAAGAGCTCTCATTCCGACTGAGGTTCCTTCCCCAGGTTCGAAAGCATAAGCATGAAAATTTGATCCTCGGTTAGAAAAATTAGTGGGGAAAATGACAAGAAAGTAAAAGGAACGGCCAAACACCTTGCGAAAACATGGAAGGGAGCAGGCGGTTGCGGTGGGCGCCAGGTCTGCATGTTGCACCTTGGTTACTAGCTATAAAGTATCCCTGGTTGGAAAAGGTCCCACGCAGCGCCTGGTTAGGGAGATAATATTCTTGAGCAAGAGGCGCTTCGCCGATTGATTTTGCCAGTTGCTTTTAAAGACAAGCTGTACGCTTACCAGCGAGGTGTATCCGTGCCATGTGGGAGATGAGCGGGTCGGCAGCTATAGAAGCATGCCAGCTTCGTCGAAATGGCGTGGAAATAAGGCTGGAGCATGCCGAAATGTGGATGTCGCTTGAGTAGCCATTCGATGAGCCGATGCCGAGGTTCCGCAGCACACCACATGATTGGTAAGCTGTCGATCGTCACGGACAAGAAGCGCTACTGGCTCGGCTAGGCGTATAGCTGATAGGCTGCCATAGCATGAGGGATGGTGGAGTCCCAAATGGCATCAAGTTATCACTACCGTCCGTCTCATTTATGCGTACTTTGGAGTGACGACCGGGCAGACTTCCACAACTGCGGTCCCGTTCCCAAGCAGGCACAGGTCGGCGACGGAGCAGAGGAGGCTTGGGCATTTTTCACTTTCACTGATTCCAATTGTCCTGTAAGTACTTTAGAAGAGCTGACAGGTTTTACCATGGTGGCTCGACGAGCTTGCTCCAGCTTCACAAGAGTTCACAGGTTTCACCAGAGTGAGACTTGTGAACCGGAACTAGTGAAGCAGCGAAAGTGCAAAATGCCCCCTTCCGTTCGTTGCCGAAACGCCCCCACCCTGCATATAACAAGAACTAAGGTCCTCGGAGCTGAGTGTACAGCGTATTTTTGAAACAGCGAGAACAACCTAAGTCGCCGCGGCCAGTGCCGCAACATGGGGCCCCCTGCACATACGTTTGCAATGAATGAACTTATCTGGAAAATTGGTAAAATGGCGAAAAAATAACAAATATCGATCGATTGATTGGCTTCATCTAGGGCGAAATCAATCGATACGCATCTAATCTTTTTCGCAGGTTCTGCGATTCTCGCAAGTTGAGAACGCGTTGTAAGTGACATATCGATGATCTGATAAAAAGCACTTTACGATAAGAAAGTGCAGCAAACTGCACTGAAAAAAAAACATTCCACTAGCGTGTTATCAG